AGAAGGATGGCAGTGATTAACTTGGTCCACAAAGGGTGCCAAAAGCACAATGAAATCGAGGCTGCAATGCTCAGTTAACAAATGCTCTGCAAATGGAGCGTCTTCGTGACGGAGTTGGCCATTCTGTGCAAAGCTCACCGCCAGTCACGTGGCTGTTGTGATAGCCAGGGCTCACGGCGGTGGGCTAAGAAGCTGGGAATTAGGCTCTGTACGTCTGTGGCCCCCATCTGCCCATCATCTGTGAGCAGGGTGAACCTTCCCTGGCTCACCCTTGGCAGTGGCTGTGGCCCTGCTCACTCTCCTTCTGTGCCCACAGCACACCTGCATGGCATGTGGAGAGGGGTAGCCAGGCCTGACCTCCGCACAGCTTACTCCCCCATCATCTTACTCTCCATCTTGTCTACGGGGCTACCCACTCCGGCTTGGCTCTGAGACAAGAAAGCAAGCCAGGCATACCTCTCCCCAAGCCCATCTGCAAGGAACTCCGTATCCAGGCAGTTCCACATAGATATGGAATCCATATCACCCTCCCAGGGCTTGGGAAATGCTGAGGTATTTCCTGAACACAGCAGGGTTCTCACCACGACTTTAGACTAAGCTGGAAGGGACACATGCCACCCTGTCTTAATGTCTTAATGTTTCAAGAAAAATAAGGAACAGGGTGGAATTAGATCATCCTATAATAAGCAGCCCGTTTGCTCTCAGGGAGGTGAGGCCCTCTGTGCACCTCAGGGAAGAGACACTTGTAATGCCTGGGACGGGATGCTTAGCTGCTGGTTCCATGGTTCCAGCACTTCCCTCCAGGACAGCCTGCGCTCTTCCAGCAGCTGGGTTTATACAGCTATTGCATCCGGTGTGGCCTTAGCTCAAAATGACCTTCGAGTCCCTTTCCATCCCAGCGACTTGTGACTAAAGTACACCTACTCCATCCAAGAGGGACAAGACAAGTGTGCTTTCCCATAAGCAATACTGTGGGGCATTTACCCACCCCACAGTTTTACCCCCACATTTACCCCCACAGTTCCCCAGAGTTTTCTTGAGTGCGATCAGCAGGAAATATTAGATAGAAGGATTTATAGCAGAGAATATCATGGAGATAAACAGATAGAAAATAAAGGATAGCCTCGAGAGGGCCTGGAACCTATTCCAACGGGCCCCAACTGTCTCTGGCCCAGGGTTTTTATAGAGACACCAAGGGGTGGAGCAAAAGACCTCCTCCCCCAGCACAGCCAAGTGCAGACCATCTCAGACACCTGCACTCAGGCCCGTGGTCCTGATCATCCTCTATTTGGACCTGCTGGGTAAAGCCACAAGGAACCCGAGAATGGGCTCCCACACAATACCCCGTGCTCTGGGAGGCACAGTTGGCCTACACATGCCAAGCAGAAGCTTGAGACCATGAGTTTGATATGTCCAGGCCAACAAAGAGGAGCAGGACCACGGCCTGCCTTGGGTAATCGAGGTATGGCCCACGAGCTGAGACAGGGTTCCCAATTCAGATCAGCATCTACAATCAAAGGTCTTGAACAAAACAGAGCCATTCTCGCGTGGAGTGGCAAGGTAGCCACACGTCCCCGGGGCTGGTGTGCGTCCATGCTCGAGTGCTCGGCCCACAAGAAGGTAGCTGGACCGTGAATGGATGGCTTGCGGGAGGCAAAGGCCTACGTGAACACAGAACCACAGTGGCTGGTCAGAAACAGAAACAAGCCGTTCTGCTTGCACAGAGATGTTGAGGGAGTCGACAGGCCAGAGCCAAGAAGTGGAGGCCGGGTGTCAGCACAGGCGCCTAGCAATCAGCTCAGCATACTACGTTTATCGCAGCCACAGGAAGGAAGACGAGAAATTTAGAGTATTCAGTCAGAGCAGGAGCTGGGACTTGAGACTTCCAGACTCAGATTGGGCAAAGAAGGGTGAGCCGGGTGGTAATAGCTATTATAGCTACTATGGTCTGAGGCCCTATCTCCATCCCCCACCTAACTACAGAAGCTGGAAGCAGGTTCACTTAGATGTTGCCTGTCCGTCTCTCTCTCTCTCTCTCTCTTTTTTTTTTTTTGGTTTTTCGAGACAGGGTTTCTCTGTGTAGCTTTGCGCCTTTCCTGGAACTCGCTCTGTAGACCAGGCTGGCCTCGAACTCACAGAGATCCACCTGGCTCTGCCTCCCGAGTGCTGGGATTAAAGGCGTGCGCCACCACCGCCCGGCTTGCCTGTCCATCTTACTTGCTGCTGGGTCAAGGGAGGGTCCAGCAGGACTGTGGTAGTGTTGAAACCACATCTAGTACTACTGAGCCAAGACATGCCCCCGCCCCCAGCTCGTGGCTCCAAGGGGTGGTGACCCAGTGACTAAGTCTAACCCATCCCCGCATTCCCTGGCTTTCCGCTCCCTTTGCCACACGAGGCTCTGCCCCAGTTCTCTGCGCTGCAGTGGTCAAGCTGGCACTCTAGGTGGACTTCAAGAACACAAGGTGACCAGGGACATGGCGGGGAGGTAGCCGGAGAAGCTCTGGCTTAGTCTCTGAATTTCAGTGTTGCTCACAGTCTACATTTCCAATTCCCATTCCCTAAGCGCCGCTCTAAGTCAGTGAACAGCCTACACGCGGCCTGAGTTACCTCCACTACACAATTATCACACAGATCACCTTCCCGTACCCATCTGACTCCTCAGAGCCATTTCAGCTGGCCTGGACTCCACCACACTGCCACCGCTTGCAGGGACTGCAGAGGCATAATGATACAGTGGCTGACAGTTTGACAAATTACTGAAAGCCTCGCTAATGACCAACGCACTTGCTCTAAGGATTGCTGTTTTAGCTATAGCTAAGCCCAATGCATCCTTGGGCAGCTCAGCAGACAAGAGTGCAAACCCATCTGGGGACGGCAGTTGTACTGACAGAATCTACAGATGAAAGGCAGCAGGTCAGCTCAGTTCTCCACGCCCGTCAGAACGCCCTGGAAAGAGCCCAAGCGATTCCAGCTCAGAAGCACAGAGACGTGGTCATTACAACTGCAGCCCCACTGTGCCTCCCAGAAGTAAAAATGAAGTCAAATACAGCACTTTCAAATCAAGGCGCCTTTCAGATGGGCCACCATTACATGTCCAGCATCGTCAGACTTCCTTGCTACTGACCACCCCTTATGATGTCCCTCATGGTCTATCTCAGCTGCGTCTCATAAGACGCTCATCAGACCAACCGCTGTTCCCTGGAATGAGAGGGGCCACACAGTCCCTGCCTGAAAAAAAATCTCAGGAAATGCTTCTCTGCTTGCCAGAGTAAACCTTGTGCCACACCAACAAGCCAGGAGCTGTTGGTGTAGGGACTGGACACCAGCACCAGCTCACCCTACCACCCCAGAGTGTACCTCACTACCTGTACTTAGACCTCAGCTACAAAAAAAACAAGGACATTTGGGGTCCTTTGCTGAGGGGGGGGGTGTTGTGGAAACTGGAAGGGAAAGACAGGACCATGAGACCCCTCACCTTCATCTCTAGACATCGTGATGCTGAAAGCCCAAAGGAGACACTGAGAGGACCCCGGGGCCTGCATCAGATGTGGAGGCCCTGTGGGTCTGGTGTCTTACCTGGGGGACCTTCTAATGGAGACACTACTGCTCAGCTCTCAACTCTTCACTTCCTGCTGTCTAGGAAAGCTGACCTGGGGGCAGAATCCACGAGGGACCACAGGTAGGAGGTGAGGAGCCCCAGCCAAAGTAGTGCTGTGAGGCTGCCGACAGCAGACGGGTGTGTTTGTCTTACTTTGTGGTTGTTGTTGTTTCTTTGTTTGTTTGTGGGTTTTTGTTTGTTTGTTTGAGACAGGGTTTCTCTGTGCAGCCCTGGCTGTCCTGGAACTCACTCTGCAGACCAGGCTGACCTCGAACTCAAAGATTCTCCTCCCTCTGCCTCCTGAGTGCTGGGATTAAAGGCGTGTGCCACCACTGCCTGGCAGGAGCTACAGTTTAAAAAAACAATCAGAAGACAAGCTCTGGTTTTTATTCCAAATACTAGGAAATAAAAATAGAGAGATGGTCTAGATGGTAAATGGGTTTCATCTCCAAACACACTGGATTTCAGGTGACACAGAAAAATTACCAGCAGGGTGGACAGGACTACAGACAGACAGACTATAGTGAAGAGGAGTTGTTTAAGTTTAAAGACATGGTTGTACTGTTGCTGGCATCCCTTCCTCCTCTTTCCACAAATAATGTGGCAAAAATACAGATAGGAAAGCAAAATAATGAGATACCAGGAATAAAAAGTACTGTATAAAGTACTAAGTCAAATATGGTGGTACATGCCTGTAATGCCAGTATGCAGGAGACAGAGACTGGAGGATTGCCTCTAGTTCACATCTATCCTGGACTATGTAACAACATCCTGCTCTTAAAAAAAAAGAAAAGAAAAAAGAAATACTCCCAAATTATTTAATAAAAATTGATTCCCATGTCTAACAATACCAGAACCAGATTAGAGGAAACATTCATTGATTACAAGGGTGTAATAAACTAGCATCCTCATACAGGCCAAAGAACCCTTTGGAAAGTGCTCTGGCCATATGCATCCAGGCCCATAAAGTGTTAATAGCATGACCTATAATATTACCTGTGAGAATCTACCCTGAGGAAATATTCAAAAGGAAGCAATAGGTATGTAATGAACAACCGAGGATATTCACTACATGGGAATGCTTAATATCTGTAATAGCAAGAAATTGAAGACACCGTAAAGAAATTAAGATCATTATAGGCCCTTCATGTAATCACTGCATAGGCATTAAAATGTTAATTATGAAGACAGTGAGGTAACAGGGAAATCTGTTTTGCTCTCATTTGTCCTGATTTTAGGTGGGAAAGGAAGAGTAAGATATGTGATTATGCAGACATTATGGTAAGCTCTGTGATAAGAGGGTAGGGTTGGGGACACAGCTTTTCCCTTCATCTTTCAAATACACCATATTGCTTTGGAATAAAAATAAGGGAGGATGTCAGACGGTCTGTCAGGGCAGTACCTTGGCTCCGTCAACACTGATGATTCGATAGCTGTTCCTGGTGACATCGTAGAAATAGGAAACAGTGACGGCCTGCTTGCTCGCGGGCACCCAGTTCTTCTTGGTGCTGGGGTCAATCTGGAAGACGTGCGCTCGGGTGGTGAAGATGGGCTGTTCTCTGCAACAGGACAGATGTGTGTGTGTGAATTAATGGAACCTGACCGAATGTATAATTCATGATTTCTAGGCCACCCACTGTCTCATACGATTTTAAATAGCTTTTCGGCAAAGATACATATGCATGAGAACAATTAAAATGAGGAGGAGGAGGAGGAAGAGAGAGATACCCAGCGAGGAGTTTCCGCAACCCACACTCCATTTGACTGCAGCTACCTCGAGCGGCTGGGCAACTGGCCTAATGAGCAGTGTGCTTAAAATGAAACTCTTTGTTGAGAGCTTTTACATCCCTGTCAAGGGTCCTATTTTTTGTTTGTTTGTTTGTTTCTCTGACACCCTATTGGTATTTCTGAGGCCGAGGGGGCACTTTGGAACTAATTCATTTTAGAAAATTTTTAACAAATTTATTTTGGGAGATTCTGGGTCAGCTTTAGGATTTTGCAACCCATTTGAAGCTTAATATTTCATCTGAGTGTTTCTCAAATCTGAGGGAGTGTTTTGAAGGACTGAATTATTTTACATCCTTGGAAGAAGTGCCAGTTTGCTTTCGAAACCAGTAAGGACTTTACTGGTTGGGGCCTCCGCGTTCTGTGTGGCTCTCCCTTTAGTTTTATGCTTTATCAGACCCTCTCCTCTCCAGTTTGACACGAAACTGTTATCTTTGTCGTCCCACAAGCCTGTGATCGTTTCCCGTGACTGCTAAAAAATAACTAACCAAGCTAACATGTTATCTATATTTTTCCTGTTTAGTAAAGAATTAATCAGGCCCTGAAAACAGGCACTCGTAACTAAGACAGATTTTAAAACTGTAACAGAATTCACTACACAGTCATACTTTGAAGTACCTACTTAACCACGTCACAAATGAATGAAACAGACTCATCACAAAATCTGCTTTTTGAAGAAAAGCTTTATAGGCAAACGATCTCCAAAATTATTTAAGTGTTCAAAAACAAAACAAAAATGAGGCGGGAGGGGGGTTGGGGTCACCAGCATGCAAAAATAATGTAAAAAAAAAAAAACTATAGTAAACATTGATCAAAGATGCAAAATTAAATTCGAAGGTTTGATTTGGTTTAGTCAAATGAATTTTTAAAATCCCAACAATTTAGAAGAGATGATGAAGCTCGCGCAGTGGACACAGAAGTTCAAAGTCTGGAGTGCTATGCTTTCAGTGGGGAGGCGCTGGGCAGAGGGCTCTCTGTGCCCTCACGCACAGCATCGGCCGAAGATGCATTATTGGAAACACAGCTCTCAAGGGAAAACGTTATTCTAGGAAAGCAATGTACTCTTTGAGCCTCATACAAGGGATGTCAGATAACACCATGGATATCAGCACAGTGTTAGAGGAACGAGGGAACTTCTGGAAGAGAACGGTGTGAATGTAATGCCAATAGGGCGGCTTCTAGAGCTGGTATCCCAGAAGAGCAGCCTGGGGCTGGCACCCCTGTGCCTCTCCAGGCCCAGGGAACAGTCATTTCCTTTAATGATCCTCAAGTTCCCCTCCTTCATCCCACCCCACAGCCTTCCAGCGGCTAGGAGACAGCTGTAGAAACAAAAGGGAGATTCCCACTGTAATGTTTCATTCACATCTGTCGTCAAGAGGCCAAGCTGTGTGGAGCACACACTCATGAATACGAGGTGGGGAGTCTGCCGTCTGGATGTCCCAGCTGGGGCACTCATCATCCAAATACAACACTATAAAGAAAAACACACTCTCAAGCAACGGTCTGCTTATGTGAGGGAAGGGTCTGTGAGGGAAGGGTCTGTGAGGGAAGGGGGCTGAACAGCTGTCGCCACAGAGAATCTGGCGGGTTAAACTACACTGGATCTCTGCTGCCCTTTCCTACGACACTAAACAGCAGCCCAACAGATCAGAGAGGAGCCCCTTTCAGGGACAGAGCCCAGGCTTTGAGGGAAGAAGGAAGAAGGGCTGGGGCTGGGGGTAAGCAGGCCACATGTGGACCCTTGTTTGCTAAACCTTCATGATGGCAATTATCCATGATTACTAAAATTACCAGCTCCCAAGCCTGCCCTAACTCCTGGCACCCGACTCTCTAGTAAAAGGACTTCTACAACAAGAGTTCTAGATAACTGCTACCTTCTGAAACTCTGGGAGAGTGCTTTCCTTAGACACTACCCAAGGATTCAGGAAACAACAGAGAACGTGGTCCCCACAGCCAGCATCCCTCACCTAGAACGACACAGTTGACTGTTAGTGGCTCATCTACTCCTAAAGCCCTGGGGTCAACCGTGGGACCAAGAACGAGTCTGTGGATGAGAGGGATTGGGAGAGGGGGCGGAAGGGAGGCAGAGGTGCTCTGGTCGGAGGACGGGGTTCTGACCAGGGAGGAAGGGGGAGAAGGTAGGAGGCCTGCTGTGTTCCATAACGACTTTCTATGTGTACTCTGTGTCCTCCAAGCCGGCAGCAGTGAGGAAGTCAGACAGTCAATCAAAGTGGAGAGGGATGCAGGGAGAAGACTGGAAGGTAAGGTATAATGGCAGGCTTGGTACGGCCAAAGCAGCCTGCCAGACGTCTGCTTGGCATGATTTGGTGAGCACTCAGACCGAAGGCCACCATCTCCAAACTGGCCTTCTCAGTCCTGGACTCTCAAAGCCTTGAGTTACCATCAGGACCTCAACTAGAAATACACAGAGGTGGGGAGGTCCGGTGGGTGGGTTCATCTGGACACCCCTGGTCATCACAGCCGGGCCTTCTACTGGAAGAGGCCGAGGAGGGGTACTGTTGGGACCCTCACCAGACCCATTCTGAGTGTTCACTGTACCCAAAACTGTGGCTCCACTGAGACCACAGAGCTGCATTCCTTGGCCCTGAGTTCCCAGCACACACAGGTCGGTCGGGGTATGTGTAGTGGGGGATGGGGACAGACAGGACCTGGACCTTCACATCCAGTCTAACTGAAGCTCTGCATCCAGAAAGCCACCTACAGGACTGGGATTTCCACATGAATAACCCAATCTGAGAGTACTGGGGAGTTTCAAGCTATTCTTCTGATATTCAAAAAGTCTAATGTTATTTCAAGTGGGGGGAAAAAAAAAGACCAGGATGAAAAGAACAGCCGGGCGCTGACATTTACCAACTGCTTAGCATTCTGCATATGGGATTCCTCATTTAGGATCACAATAATCTTGCGGGGAAAGTGCTGTACAGGTGGGGGAGACCAGCTCAGAATGGCCAAAAGACCTGCCTGGGTCACACAGTAGGTGGCGTATCTGGAAACTTCAACTCCCTCTTAACTATAAGAATAGTTAAGACAGTAGCTGTGGGCAGTATACAGCTCCAGCATGGTTCCCAATGTACTCTCCTCCCCTTGCATGCAGGGAAGATGTCAACTGTTTTGGTCTTTGTTTGTGTGTTTGGGGCCCAGGGTTTTCTAGGCAGGGTCTCTGTTAGTGCCCACAGCCCTCCAATTGGTGATGCTCTTACCTCGACCTCCTGCACTGGGATTACAGGTTTGCACTCCAGTCTGACTCTCTCAACCAACAGAACGTAGCAAAGGTCATGGGTGGCCATGTGTGTGATTAAGTTATACAGAATTGTAACTTGTTTTCAACTAACTCGCCCTCGCTGGCTTTCGGGAATATTAAGAGTCCCACATTGTAAAGCATTGAGAAGACTCAAGCCAGCAACCAGAGAAGAACTGAGGCCCTTGGTCCGATAACCCCAGAGGATAGACTACTACCAACAACCATGTGAGTTCCAACCAGATCTTTCTATAATCAAGCTTTCATGTGAGACTTCACCCTGGACCTGACCACGGCACACGACCCACTCAGACTCCTGCCCTACAGAAACACGGTTTGCTTAAGCTGCTGAATCTGTGGTTTATTACAGTGAGATAGATAACGAAGACCATGTCCTTCACAGAAAGCTTACAACACACCACACGGAGGGCAATATCCTCATCAGATCCTCCTAACAGCTGTGCGTGGACAGTGTTAGCCACAGAGAGCTCAAGGTCGCAAGGTGATGCCAAGCAACAAAAAGAGCAGAACTGGAGTACTTTCAATTCAGAGAAAGGGACCCCAACTTCGAAAGCTAATTTAGCCTCACCTGAGAGAGGACAGGTGCTGTCTGTATCTAGGACATCGCTGTCAGGTCCTATGTGTGTGCAAATCAGAATAAGGGGAGTCAACAGAATCAGAACTTCTCAGCCCACGAGGCTGCAGATCCCTCCCAGCATGGACCAGTGCAGATCAGAGAGCAGAAACCACCTTCAGATCCAGTTTCATCCCCCTTTCTTTGGTGTTCAGTGCTCAGGGAGTATATTTGAACCACTCCTATCCCTTCTCCACAGCTTTAAATAGAAAGCAGATGTTTCCGGATGGCAAAATGCTTCTTCAGGCAGACAATATAACCTACAGTTCCCTTGCATAGTCTTTTAAAAGCTGAATAAACACCAATTGCTGCTCATTGAGCACATTTTGGAACCTGACAGTAATTGTCCCTAAGAATAATTAGATGCTCTGTGCAACATATGTACGTTTGGAACACGAAAACCCTCGGCAGAGCCGACGCTTCGGCTTTGAACGATTTCTGGCTCCGCGTGAAGTGCCTCTGCAAAAGGACTGGCAGGACTACTTTTTCCCCCTTTTTTTTTGCAGAAAAGAAAGAAAAATGAGGTTTTAACTTGTCATAATCTTTCACTTGCTCAGTGCCAGGCTGTTTTCTGACAGGAAAACAGGATTCTTATTTTCCTACTTCTATTCGATTTGAATTGCAAAAAGTGATTCAGAAATTATTTCTGCAGCTATTTAAACATTTCCAAGTCTCATAGCGTTCCCGACTTTGTCTTGACTCTTGAGCTCCTTCAAATAAACATCCACGCAGTACCGAGAGGAGAGTCTCCCAGCTTCGATGGTGAGGTCCTCCTGGCCAGCACCACAGGCTTCTCTGCTCTACCCCTCACAGGGCCAGCTCCAAACACTGGGAATATTCACAGGCTCCAGGTCACTTGCCTTGCTCTGCCCTGTCACCAA